TTCACCCGCTTAAGGTATTACGGTGAGAAATCAGCCAATCAGCGCTGAGACAGGGATCAAGAATGAGATCGTATTTCAGTGTATGCGTGCGCTTGAATTTTGTATTTCTCATTAGAAAGGGTTAGAACTCTTTGCAATTGTTAATTTCAGAAACTAGAATTTTTTCTGAATCCGACAGTGTAAGCGGCTCGTCCGAGGTGCGTTGCTGGGGCGGCCGGGAAATTTTCAAAGAAAGCCTACGTTTTCGCGCAAAATTACATTGGAAAGTGGCCATTTCGAGTGTGTGCCGGCCAAATTTTGTTTAAAAAAAAATTATGAAAGAATTTTAGAGTTAATAACATATATGGTGTCACTTGCGACGTGGATTCAGACGATGGCATTGTAATTTCTCAAAAAAACTTCTGCTGATTTATGGGAATTTTTTTCGCAAGTATGGCCGCCAATGGGGAATAATTTCCCAGTGTTGTACCTGTATGCCCATTGGATTATATCTATTAGATTACCAACCCCTATGTCTCGAATATCAACACTGTCCGTCAAGCCCGTCTTTGTTAACAGTAGCACCAATGTTTACCCCCTCTTCCTTAGGGCCAAAAGGTCATGGCATCGTTCAACTACGCTTCGCACATCGGTGGAAATTACATTTTATTATCCTTCCAATAAAGCCATAAGACGGCAGATCACCACTGAAACATTATATATATATGCGTGTGTGTGTGCGCGCGTGCGTGCGTGCGTCTGTGTGTGCGTGCATGCGTGCGTGCGTGCGTGCGTGCGTGTGTGTGTATGTGTGTGTGTGTAGAGAGAGAGAGAGAGAGATATATAGATATACAGACAGACACACAGACAGACACACACATGGACAGAGAGACAGACAGACAGACAGACAGGCAGACAGACAGACAGACAGACAGACAGACAGACAGACAGACAGGCAGACAGACAGACAGACAGACAGACAGACAGACAGACAGACAGACAGACAGACAGACAGACAGACAGGCAGACAGACAGGTAAACTGCGTACAATCTTTCCTTGGGTCTTATAGATGCTGATGCGCCCATGCAGTTCGAGCACATGTTGATGATAACAGTATATTTCTTGCCGTGGGCAATTAGGTCGGCACTCTCACGCTCCATTTCCACATATAAATGACTCTGCTCATCCATGACGTGTTGATGCGATATCTGTTTATAATTGCATTGGCTCAAATCTCTGTGACAATCAAGTGACAACCAAATATAATAGGGCGTTTAATAGAATTTTAACACGTTCAACGCTGCCTAATTAACAATGCACCTACCTCCCTGTGCTGAGATTTTCGCGTTTTTCCCGCTTAGTCACTTATTGTTTTACCTCATTTGTGTTACCGTAAAGCTAACTAAACTTAGGAATTTACCTGGCAAGTATGCTATCTCTCCTTCTACGTTTAAATAATATAAAAATTTTACCCCAAAATTAAGATATTATGATATGAAAACAGGCATATTTGGCGAATTTGAGCGTTTTCCCAAGCTTGGAGCCGAAGCGGCGAATTTTCGCGTTTTTCCCGCTTAGTCACTTATTGTTTTACCTCATTTGTGTTACCGTAAAGCTAACTAAACTTAGGAATTTACCTGGCAAGTATGCTATCTCTCCTTCCTCGTTTAAATAATATAAAAATTTTACCCCAAAATTAAGATATTATGATATGAAAAGAGGCATATTTGGCCAATTTGAGCGTTTTCCCAAGCTTGGAGCCGAAGCGGCGAATTTTCGCTTGCGCATTTCTTCAACGCTTTATCGTGTTTTTCTGGCAGGAAACGTTACAAACTTACAGATTTGCAGAATTAAAGAACAAAAACAGAAATCCGTTTACTTCTAAGATCTTATAATAAATACACAGAACCAATATGTCTTTTCCAAACGTTTTTAATTTTTCTAATAAATATTGCGTGCATGCGTGCGTGCTTGCGTGCGTTCTTGTGTACGTACAGGTTGAAGCAACTAATGTAAATAACACAAACACTATAAAGGCTATTTCATATGATTTACCCAAGTCAATATATAACAGCAACTTTCTAAAATACAACAACTGTCATAGCTATGTAACAATAAATATGTAAAGAAGATAGAAGATAAAACAGATTACTAACAACAATAATTTTTTTAGATAATATCTAAACAGTAACAAGTAGCACCACAACTGTAGCACACAATAAATAACAATAATTCTTATTTTTTGATGAATGCAACATAAAAACTAACAATATATATAATATATTAACAGCATATATACTAACAGCATATATAATAACAATTCGTAGTAATAATTATAAACAATAAACATATTTTTTTTATTTTTTTTAGAAACAGTAGCAACAACCCTGCAAAAGCAACAACAATATATATATATATATGTATATATATATATATATATATATAAACTACATCATAAATATATAATTTTATAAATAAATACATGTTGTAGTAGGTTATGTATTCCCCACGTTGGGACTGTGAAAGCTGACTATTATGCCTTCATGGGAGCACTCACAATGAATCGATAAACACAGGAATTTGGTAATGAACGGCTTTATTCGGAGACGCCGGCTAACTCACGTCTGCTCACACCAATGTCTGCCAAGCAAGAGCAGGTCAGTGAGTATTTCATGATCTCCTGGTTCTGGGTAACTGTACCATACCGCTTGGTATAGAGGTGTTGGACCCGCAATGATTGGTTGACGCTCTTCTGGCAGGTGGTGCATAATGGGGCCGTGCAATGCACCTTCACTGAGCAGTGTGCAAAGATGATTCGTCGCCGCGGCATATGGCGAGTGTGTTGATGGCGTGTTTGGCGTGATCTGTCGTGCTCTCAACGCCATCTGGTTCATAAGTCTTAGCAACCTCGCGACCACCTCAGGTCGGATTCGACGAACGACGTTTAGAGAGATGGTCTTAGGGACTGCGACTCCTCGTAGATACGCAAGCTTAATCCATGAATGCGTGTCGGACATTTCCTGAATACTGACGACGTCGATCGTCTCAACGAGTGTTCCCCAGTACGCAACTATCAAGCCGACGCCGACAAGCGCACCACTGTCCTCCAGCATAATCGGTGAAATGCTTCCTCTTTCACCAGCATCCTCTAGAATAGTCGTTAGCTGTCGTGATATGTCTTTTCGTGTGTCCGTTGTGAGCACTGAGTGTTGTAGACAATGTAGACTCGCTAATTCAGCGACAGTAATCTGCTGAACCGCCAACTCTGAAGCATTCACACGGTGCTAGCACCAGTTGGTAATTGGTGTCAAAAGACTTGAATGTCCTTTGCCATTGTAGCTCTTGCAGGATTTGATACTGCGCAAACAACATTTCCTCCAGGAAATTCACTGCGTACTTTTTCCCTTGCATGAAGGCGCCACATGTACGTGTGTCGGTGGTAAACAATGACAACAGGTTGGTCGTTGAGTTTGGCGCAATAGTTGGATTAAATCCTCGGCTCCTCAGATGGTGCTCTATAGATCCATGCGACCGAACGCCGCTCAAGACCTGTAACCGCTCTGATGTGATATCAGTGTAAGCCGCAATCAGACGATCTACTAGGCGTCCTACTGACCCATCCTCGTCGACAAGGTCGGCCCATGACTTCACCACGGCTAGGTTAAGGACACCATCAATTAGCGCATCTTTACTCCTCAGGAGCCTTAACTGATTGCGGGTGGCCGATGAGGTCATGTGCCCCAAGAAGGGTGTGTTTTGCGACATGATCAGGTGATCACTAGCGATCCCAACGCGCTGCGTGACCGTGCCGCATCTGATACCTATATATTACGACTCAGGTGTAAGGACTGTCTCCTTCTGTAGCGTGAACAGATGACCCATTGGCGGCGCGGTGATGGTGGTGACATTACGCTGCCAATGATGCTCTCGTGTTTTATCGGCCGCGACGTATGGACACCGCGTTGTGAAGATTGCCTGACGGGTGAAGTCCCCTCGCATGAGTTCAACGCGCCATCGATGAACGCGTTGATCCGCTTGAAGGACGCGACGGCATAGCACTGGCGTTGTCATTGCAAACGGCTTAGTATTGAGTAGGAAAACAATGGCAGTTCTGGAGCATTCGAAGCATGCGACGAGGGCTTCGCGGACCGCGAATCCTGAGGCGCCATACATTGCTGCTAAGACTCGTGCGGGCCAATTAGTGTTGTGCTGCAAGCTCAGTAATAATGCTTCTTGGGCTGTTGCGTCATAGCATTCGAAAAGCGCCATTATCTCCTCGTTTCTGGCTATTCTTGCTAGACGCCCATCAAGCTCCTTCGTTATGATGCTACGAGGACTTTGAGGTTTTGTAAGAGCGAGGGCTCGGGGGTCCGACAAGAGAGTTCTAAGGGGGGGGGCGCTTCTATCAGGCTCTTGAAATCCTATAGCGGTCATGATTCTGCCAACAGCCGGCTTCGCCTTGAGTGCGTGGATCCTCAAGCGATGAAACTGCAGTAGGTGGTCAGCTTCAGATCTGATATACATTGTTTCCAAGTAGATAATGGGGAATCCGCCGAGCACGCTCGGTGTCATCAGGAGAGCAACCAACTCGTCGTCACTTAAATCCCAGTAATGGTTACACTTACTCCCTCTTGCGACAGGCCATTGGCATTGGAGAAGATAGGAGAACGCCCACACGGTCGCGATGTGATAGGGCGCGTACGACAGACATTCTTGTTCTGCGGTTGAATGGGCATTCGAGAATGCGCACGCAATGTAATCGTCTAGAAAGGGCAGGAAGAAGTCGTTTATTCCTGACATTTTCGTTGCTTTCCGGAAGTGGCCCGGGATCTGCACACCCCCGACTCTATATTGATGGCAGAATATGAACGAGTTAAGTGAACATGTTGTCTCATCTGGTTTTGCATCGTGCCCTAGCAACTTTAACTCGACTGAAATCTCTTTTGACAGATTCATCGCGAACTGAGTCGCATCGCCCGCTGCCCCACGTTGGGCGCCACCTTCCGACACTAGTCCGAAACTATGCCACCGTCACATATATATATAAACTACTACATGTACACACAATACACTCTTCAACAATAGTTCTTCGTGCTGTGGTATTTGATGTAGCACTCTCCTTTGCAGAGGGGGATACCACATTGTTCACATAGCCGGCTTGTCTCGCGGCGAATTCCGTTCCTAGAACATACACGGCAAGCTCTTGTTGGAAAACGTTTACGCTCCGTTGGGGGAACTGGAATCAATGTGTGGTTAGAAAACCCCCCTGATAATCTACTGGTCGGATCAGCCCCCCTGCGGGATATGTAGTTATCATCTGTACCAGGATCTACAACGAGGTTGACGGGGTCATCAGGGGTGAGACAAAGGTTACGGGCAATACTCATTGCAAAATCTAAAAGTGGCATCTGGCTATTATCGTTAACTTTCCTGAATATTATATGTGAATTGAACATTGCAATGTCTAGCAAGTATACTACTAATTTCTTAGACCATTTGACAGTCTTACGTATTGACGGATAATAATGAATCATTTGATCAAGTCTATCAACCCCACACATGTGTTGATTATATGAAAGGATGCATTGTGGTTTCAAAATTTGCTCACCTGTTCTTCTGTCCCGTTTTGCAGCTTCACCGAAGGAATCGTCATGCATCGTACTTATCATCGTCACTGGTCTCTTGTCCATCCACGTCATTACCATCACTGTCCCATTGTCCCTGGAAATAACCTCACCTTTTCTCAATTTTATTACTTTACCAATCTTATTGATTATGGCTGGCCCTCCTCGATTCTTCCTCAGTGTCCCACAAACCCATGTCCCTGCTGCTGCTAAGGATTCTGCTAAAGAAACAGAATTATAAAAATTATCCATATATAAACAGTAGCCATGATTCAAGAGTCTGTCTAACAGATTGTATATGGTAACAGAAAGTGGCGTATAATTTCCACAATAAAGATCAATATTCCAGCAATAGCCGGTTGCAGAATCAGCTAAAATATATCCTTTGATGCCATATTTGATTGGTTTTGCCGGGTTGTATACTCTGAACGAAAGTCTTCCTCGCCAGGCTAGCATCCCTTCATCAATGGAGATCTGTCGATTCGGCTGGAAAAGATCACGAAACTTTTGGATTAGATAATCATAGACCGGTCGTACTTTGTATAGTTTATCGGTGCAATTTTCTGGCTTATTTTCGTTGTCACTAAAATGGAAAAATTTCCAAAGAAGAAAAAACCTATCTCTAGACATTACTTTTCGAACGAAAGGAGTTTCCAACATTTCATCGGTTGACCAAAACATTTCCATTTGAGGTTTTCGTACAATACCCATTAGAATTAGCAAGCCTAAAAATTTCTTCATTTCGGGGACAGTGGTCGGTTTCCAAAAGCGCAGCCGAGAAAAGGGTTTTAGGACCACGTCCTTTAGCTGTTGAGCTGCGTACAGGTTAGTCTGATAAACGAGAGACTGCAGCAGCTCGAGCGTAATAAATAAAGAGAAAAAACTCATGGCATTGGCCGGGTCTCTCATGGCTCCGATGTTCGGCCCTGGGGTAGCAGTGAAGTCCGGTAGTGTTGGCTTCCGTCCTGCCTCTTTCCACTGGGCCTCCTTCGCTGCGGCGTCCCTAGCTTTACCCTAGAGAAACGATGTCATATAATTACTTTCCCACAGCTGTTTTACAATCAACTGAATACAGTATCAAGATGCGAGGTGCTTTGAAATATTTCCTTTTAGTGGAACACTGGAATGCAAGATGGTTTTTTACGAATAAAAATAAACCTTCTTCGTGGCTGCACTAGTAGTACTAGTACTAGCCGGTCTTGGTGGTGGGATGGTACTAGGACTCGGAGAAGGACTCGGAGGGCGGGGAAGGTCATCGGTAGGATCATCATCACCTATGTGCAGGGATAGCGAGTACTTACAAAAATAAAACAACACCTAATTTACAAACTGTAAATGCTCCGTAACAAATTGTACTATCCAAGAGAAACATATAGACTAGATAGCCTTCTAATTAGTAATAACTAGTAATAATTAGTAAAACTATCAATAATAATGACATGCATGCATATACATTCCTTCTTTCTTAGTGATAATAGTGTAATTACCAAAAACCAAATGTATCTAGCACTAGTACTAGTCAATGTTTTTGGTAGCTATAAAAATATTTCTAATTAGTGGCGCCATGCAAGTTAGTAAGTATACGACACCTAATTTACAAACTGTAAACGCTTCGTAATAAATAAAGATAGGCCTACTAATGAAAACTGTACTACACAAAAGAAACTTCTAGAATAGATAGCCTTTTAATTAGTAATAATTAGTAATAAATAGTAAAACTAGCAACAACAATTATTAATTACAAATACGCATTGCTTCTTTCGTAGTGATAATATTGTATTTGCCAAAAACCAAATGTATCTCGCATTAGTACTAATCAATGTTTTTGGCAGGTTTAACTAGCTATAAAATTAATTATAATTAGTGGCTAGTATAATATAGATATAAACTTACTCTCAGACATCAAAATAGACATATCACTGTCAGAATCAGCGCAAAACTCTCCAACTTCTTCAGCAGTGAAACGACGACCTTTGTTGAACGATGCCATTTTCACAACAAAAATCAAATGCCCTTGGCGTGGGGAACCAAAAACATTACCTCAGTCCCAAAAATTCCTAAAAAAACGTTCCAACCAACAGCAAAGCATTGTATAAATAGGTCATCTACGACTGGGGTGTACATAGACTGACCCTGATTAATTTCTAAGCGTACAGCCCCTGCCATCTATAGGATAACTTAGTAAAAGTGCAGAAAAAAATTTTTTTTTTTTTTTTTTTTTTTGCCACGAGTATACTCGTGTTTCGCGTCCGTGCGTTTTGCAGGTTCGAACGAGTATACTCGTGTTTCGCGTTGAACGTGTTAAACGCCGCTTGGAAAGAATTATCATATAATCTTGCTTTACTGTGGCACACTGTAGTCCCCAACCCCAATACGGATTTCGGTAGACTTAACTTTAGCTCCTCACTCAAAATGAATATCCCGGTGTAAAGCTTAAGCTTAAAATGACTGGATAGTGTGAATGTTAGTGTATAAACATGTATTGTCACTCCTGTCAGCAACTATATAACTGCATAAATATATTCCATTAAAGTTTCCTATAAGTGCGAGTAGCTCTCAACTCTTAATGATACCCATTGGTCTTGCAACTCGCCTACCTCGCCAGCCGATGAATCTCTGAAAGGCCGCGCTTACAAAGCTGCAGTCGCTAAACACGCAATGGGCGGGACTCATCTGTAGCTTGCGTTGGCGTTCAATCAGCTGCCATTAAAGCCATAATTTCGAGAATTATCTAGTGTTTTCCCCACTTTTATGATACCTACCATTATTACTTGAGTAACAGCAACTGTCTAGACTCTAGAGTAACGATAAAATGTATTAGAACCTTCGTATTCACCGAAACGTGCAAGTTTCGAACTCGTTCGATTACCACCGCGTTTTCTTGTAATCTTGGACCAGTTAGTAGCGTCAGCTATCGTCCATAGACTTACACGTACGTCTCTCGCACAATATCGTTTGCACCGACAAATTACAAGTTGACACATTTAACAAATCTCGCGACTTGACGTTATTTTCGTTGTTTTACACTACCGACTTTATGTTGGCGAATTGGCGAACTCCGAGTTGGCGAAAATAGAACATGTTCCAATCTCCCAACTAGTTGCTATCGATCAGTTGGTCGCGCGACGTTTGCGTTTACACTGCTGATTGTCGGTTGTGTAGTTGGGAAGTTGATCCAATTCGCCAACACAGAGTCGGTAGTGTACACCCAGCTTTACGAAGTGTTCATATTCAAATTTCTATGCTATAACTTCATAAAATCTGAGTGTTTTTCAAGTTGGTGTAATCAGTGATATACCCGCTGTGAGGTGAGACTATATTTCGCTATATTTTATTAGGATTGAGCGTTTCTGTACAAGAATCTCGCAAATATTCCTTTAACGGCTAGCGGCTAATGCGAGCGCCCCCAGCATCCAATGATCTCTAGGACACGTGGCGCCTCCGTATGTCATTGCGCGCTATCACTATATATCGCTATATATATTTATACATTATACGTATGTTATATATGAATACATAGAGTGCACATGCAGGTGTGATCATGATGATACCGCATGTATTTACCGGTATCCCGACGGCGTATTGAGAAAACAAATAAATCGAGATACAAAATGTGGTTAAAAATCGGCCCAGCACAGCGAGCTGCTATAATTACAGCGGTACCATAGTTCAAGTCACATTAAATTCTGTTATTCGCGAAACATAAATGGGAATTCACAATAGCAGGAGTATATAGTGACAAATATACATGTTGTCATTATACACTCCTGATAATAGGAAGGTGCTTTTATTGTACTGTTGAATCTTGTGACCCTAAAAGCATATTTCACTGAATGGTTGACGAGCATTGCAAATGGATGTATTCTATTCCCGCTCACCACCGGCAAATGTCATTGCCGCGACTAATTGTTGATATAGCCTAATTGCGAGACTGTCCATATTAAAATACTACATTTATACGCATCTCATTAGTTTTGACATTGTTAATTGAACGCAATTTTTCAAAGAAATCGTAGTCATCCTTAGAAATTATTACAGACTTTAACTACATTGCTGCTGACATAACACCTAGATATTTCGCATAGCGGACCGAGTATGTGGGGCCCGTTGTCAGAAACAAAATGGTCTTAAAATTAGTCTTAACATTAACTTTTTCTCTTAGACCGTTGACAGAAACGCTGCGAAGTTACGAGAATAAAAAATCGTAGTAGATTTCCTCATAACAATAGGAAACAAAGTGATGTCGACGGTCTAAGAGAAATTGTTAATGTTAAGACTAATTTAGTTTCTGACAACGGGCCCCTGTTCTGACCCATAATTATTGCATAACAACGCGTGTTTTATCCCGGAACGCAACATATTCACCAGTGCACACCCAATGAAAACAACATCTAAACATTGTGAAGAATTAATTTCCCAGGATAGTAGTCTAATTAGGCGACATATCAAAAAGAAATAGCGAGAAAACTCAGAGATAATTATATGTGTTGTATTGTACATTGTGCGTTGTAATTAACCAGGGGCGCTTCTAGCCAGGCGAGGCAGCAGCCCTGTTCGTTGTTCGTTGTTGTTTTTGTAAAGACACGGGACGTAGGGCGCGATATATCTGCGTAGCCTCACGCGTCTCCTAGCCCCGCCAAGGTCCGGCCGATAATGACGAAAAACCGGTCGGATTGAAATGTCGCCGGGCGGTTTTCGGAAACGTATATAAATAGGCACTGACGAAAGATCATGAGAGTTACCCACCCAGGAAACGTACGTGAGTACGGACTTTCCTATCAAGGTGTAGCGGACCAAGTCGAGACACGGGGCCGTTCTGGAATTTCGTTAAAAATAGTTAGTGACGCTCCCCATCTATGATGAAGCGTATATGGGAGGGAGAGTATGGTAGGTATTTTACAAGGCACATCATACGTCGCGGTAGAATCCCGCTCACGAATAGATGACGTGTATCACTGTCAGACAGAAAAGTGACCTGTCGAGACAAGTGTTAAGAAAGATGGTCTGGCACTCTTCAAATTTATTTACGATAAGTTTTGCTTTATATCTTAGAGGATGATGATATAATCATTTCATGTTTACTTCGTGACTGTAAACGCGATCTTTGCTCTGTAGTGTTACTATAAGTAAGGTAGCAACGTTAGTATATTATATACATAATATTACATATATACATATCATATATCTCATTATACATTATAATAATCTCATGTAATATTTATGAATAATGTGAATATTTTACCGTGCTTGGTCGTCTGCGTAGATGGTGGTAGGCCTATAGGCGGCATGGTTTATAAGCCAGTATGCCTATAGAGACCCAGATGAGAGACCGGATACCAGAGAAGCGTCGCCTGAGGGGTGATACTCAATTAGGAGTGTTCCCAACTTTAATGTCATTAATGGTCATAATAATATATATATGTATATATATATGGTCATGGTCATATATTAGTTTGTGGTTTAATGTCATTTAGGTTAGGGTTAGGGTTAGGGTTAGGGTTAGGATTATCAATCATTAATCATTAATCATTAATGATATCAAAGTTGGGAACACTCCTAATGGAGAGGCACAAATTCTGGTTGTCTCGGACAACCGGACAACGCTTATTTCGAGCACTGTCATTCGGTTACAATGCGCATTGATGTGCATTGATCAATACCGAATTCGGTGAGTCAAGAGTATTATTTCAAAGATTTGGATACCAACATTGTTGAAATTACTATCTAAAAAAAGGATACCAGATCTTTTGGGGGGATACCAGATTTCAAATACCTGAAGCGCTACTGTACGTGTAACGCCTGTACGTGTACTGGTATAGAGAGCTCAGGTTATTGATTTTGTATAGGTTGGACACCGGACAACCACGGAAGCAATTTGTAATTGCCCGAGAGAAAATCCAGTCGTCACGGACGACCGGATGACTGTTAAAATTGAGCACTGTATTAGCTTGCTGATATTTTTGATGATAGTTTGCACATAATTAGACTACGTACGTAAGACAACATCATTATATAACAGGGTTTCTTCTACATAGGAGGCACTGCGCTGCACCGCCGTTGTCAAATTGAACAATACCGTTGTGAAAATGTTCCTGTATTTACCCGCCGTTGTCAAAATAGTGTCAATCCAAAAATAAATAGATCACCACGTGCTTCTGACTATATACATGGAAAATCGTAATGAAATTCACAGCAAGGTTTCTTTTTGCGTGCCGGCACACTCCTGTGTCATTCCCGATTGCAGCTTTTTCCTCGCTTCCGGGAAAGTTGCTGTCGCTCTCTCATGAATACCAGCGGTGCCCACCCCTACATATACAGCTATAAGCATGCCCACGCGACTGTAACAATCAGCATTCGCCCCCCCCTTCGTACTTCAATCAATGCCGCCCAACTAGCAAGCACGAGCCACGATGTGCACAGCCACAGACGTGGGTAACAGGGGACATATATGGACCATTTTCAGGAAAATGTGCAAATAATGGTAAAGACAATTGAATTTTTTTTGCCGAATTTCCATCCCGAAGTGTTGTTAATGGACACGTCATAGTACAAAAATTTTCACATTTAATCAGCAATGCTAGATTCAGAGCACTTTTTTGAAAAAATGTATTAAACATTTTTGACCACTGTCTCTACCGTTAGTAGATAATGGTGAAGACAGTGCTTCCAAACCATAATGGAGGAGACATACTGGTAGAAAAAATGAAATCAAAGCTGTGTTTTTATACTAATCAACTTTATTTTGTTAGGAACAAAATTTGTCATGACACTAGTGGTAACTGCATCTGGCAGGTACAAGCCTGGAATAGTGAATAAACATGCAACATGAAAAAAATGAACATGAACATATGCCTATGTTAAACTATAGACAAAAACGTGTGCTGAAACCAAAAAATTACTCCACAGAACCACATGACCAAGAATCCTCAACCATACAGTCAGGGACACTATTCTACACCACAAGGCTTCTTATGTATGAAAATGTTGATTTTTTTATAATGCAGGACCAGGGCTCAATTATAAAGATGCCGATAGCAAATTTCCAAAAACCTTAAAACTAAAATAACCAGTTGACTTTACACGTTGGGTCCATAATACATAGTTCATCATCACTTTCCTCTTTATAACAAAAATTAACATTCAGGT